TAGCTCAGTGGTAGAGCGATCGCTTCGCATGCGATAGGTCGTGAGTTCGATCCCCACTGCCTCCAGTTTTTGCTGTTTTTCTTCCATTTCATGAAAATCATATGTTGATGACGTAATATATATAGAATGGGTCATAAATAGCATAAAATAGGTTAGTTTTTTGGTAAATTTATTTAGAATGATCTTTTTAAGATAAGCGAATACTACTATTAGTGATTATTTTTGATATTATGAAAGGAATTTGATGTGCTATCAAGTAAGAAAAATACATGTAAAGTATGTCATAGATAATTTTCAGTTGTTATCTAAGAGAATAATAATAATAAGAAATCAAAATGAACTTTAGGAATGGTATGATATTGGTGCACATAGTACAAATTTTCAGAAGTAATTAGTTTAAAAGTTAACAGTTACAAAATTGTGAATTTTCAGATATGAAACACTGAGTTTTTGCAAGGAAGTTGGTGTTTTGGTGACCAAATTATGGCGATTGTGCATTTTATAGGATACGAAGAGAGATGTGTGGGATCAGTCCCGGGTCCCATCCACTGTGATTGAAACTCAATTTTATAGTAAAATATTCTATGGTTTTAAGTGAAATGTCTAATTAATCATATCAATCAGAATATAAATCAAAAGACGAGTATTGAAGAAAATATTTTAAATGTGATACGAATGAATTCTAGAAAAGTTTTCTCTAGATTGAGACCAAAAAAAACTTGGTTTCACACATCTCTAGATACGAATTTCAGCATATTAATCAACTAGTTTTGAAAACTTACTTTATGTGCATCAATATAGTATAATTCATAATGTTCGTTTTGACTGCTTCTTATTATTCTCTTAGATGACAACTGAAAATTATCTATAAAACATTCGATATATATTTTTCTTACTTGACAATAGGTTAAATTTCTATAGTGAAGTTAAAAATATAACATGACAGTAGTATTTGCTTACGTCATCCATATCAAAAAAAAACTTTACATAAGTTTCTACTACTAACAAAAAATCAGATCATTCGAGTGAACTGAAGTGAAAATATTTCAATTTTTTATCGTATTACTGTTTATGGCGCATATTGCATATTATTACTCAGAGAAAATAAATCCATAGATGCTATATGAAGTCGAAATATCTCTCAAAATCTTAAATAATTGACTCTTCTTTATTTTGAGAGAAAAAAAAAGATTAAAATAAATTTGATTTTTCAAGTACAAACGAATGTATTTAATGTTCAACTTACGTAAATCTTATATACAACTTGAATTATTAAAAATTATTCGAAAGTTTTTGACATAATTAGAAAAAAAATTCAACAATAATCATATTCATGAACAGTTATTCTATCAGAGAATGATCATTCGAAGAAAATCAAAGCTTTCTATATATGATATATATTTTGCAAAATTCAATTTTTTTCGATTATATACATCCGTAAAAATATCTATTTCTTTATTTATAACCAGAACTCTATCATTATCAACACTTGTACAGGTAATTAGCATGACAATATGAAAAACTTCATCTAACATAGGAATATTCCCAACTGTTCGATCGGTCATGATGACTAGTTAAAAAGTATGTTTTGGATTGGTTTTTCAATGTTCGCATGTATAGTTATTGCCGTTTTACTCTTATTTTGCCCTATGAACATAGAACTATGGAAAACTTGAATGATCGAATTCCGAGCTGATTTTACTCATCGATAGGTCTAACAGTGTTTGAGCTAGAACAAACATGTCCTTGCTAAAACACCTTTTTTTTGAGTAAAGGATTCATAACTCCACATATAAAAGCCGAAAAACCAAATTAAAACATAGTGTCAAACAAAAAGCAATCCGGCAATTGAGAACGTTCCCTCATAAGATTAACTATTATTCGTACTATTATTTTTTGCTTACATTAAAATCACAATATAATCTTTCTTTTTTTTTTTACGCGAATATATTGTAAAAAGAATAGAAATCATTAGACAACAAAGCAATCTACTCAGTTATAAATAACTAAAAAACTCGTTTTGATTTATAACTAACAATAAAATTCAATGGCATTAATTCATAAAAATTTTCCAATGGATAATAAACAACATTCACTGAAACCATTCGACCATGAAATCTATATTTTATTAAAGAATACATAAATGAATATAATTAAATTTTAATGATACATTGGAAAAAATGACAATCACATATACTTATACATAAGAGAAAAAGGGATACAATTGCACATAATCTGGAAGTTTATAAATATAATTGTTTTTTTTTTTATTTTGTTCGATTCAAAATCAAGCTCGTGATTCCACTGGTCGTTGTCCTAAACCATTATTTGTCAAATTGCTATTATTTCCTGCACTTATATCTGCTTGTTTACCAAGATAATCCCTAAAATATACAAAAAAGAAAAAACATATTACTTTTTTTTTGTTCAGTAAACATATATATATGAGGCAAACGCAAGGAGAAGGGTAAAAGTGCGTTATGTATTAAAACAAAAATGCAAAAAAAAAAGTAAAAAAACAAGAATTTATTAGTAAACCGTGCTTTCCTACACTGTCGTTATCTGTTTCTCATTAAAAGATCTGCCATTTGCCTATGAATTCGATGACATATATATGTATTTTTATTGAATTTAATGATGATGTTTATTTATTTTTTTTTTGTTCGTTATTTTTCTTACCAATTATGAACCATTAATTTTTGAACACAAAGTAAACCTTGATATCGAACATTGGAATCTGGATTCTCTAATAAACGCATAATGATAACTTTACCATCGAGTTTATCAATAGCTCTAAATTATTTTTTTGATGAAAATTTTTTTTTTAAACAATAATTCAAACATACTTTTTTCCATGAGGATAATGTCGAACATATTCTCCGATGTCATGTGCAGCAACACATAAAACCAATGGTTCTTTACTTTGTTCAAGTAAACGAAGAAGCATTCTGAAATTTTTCGAATAAATAAATTTTCACTAATGTTTTTTATTAAAAGAAAAGATAATGTTTGTTATGTTGAATTCTCTCATACAAAGGTTTCGGTGATTTTTATTCATCTTTTAATGTAAAAATCTCACATGGAAAACACTGAAGAACATTCAAGTAAGTGATAATTCTCTATAGTTAATAGAATCCATCGGGTTGATCCCGAGTCTGGGTCTTAAAATTTTGAACCCGATAGGCTCGAATCGTCAATGGAAGTAGGTCTTCAGGAACAGGGGTGCAGCGATAACCATAGCCAATCGTACAGTAAACACGGTGAAAAGAAGCCGGGAATTTTCGGTTCGAACTGTTGAGCTAGACCCGAATTTACCTCATTAATCTTCATATAAAGCCTTATTTCTATGAATAGTTAGTACACTCCACACTACTCGGTACTAAATTGTCTCGCTGAATATTATGATGTCTTGTTATTGATAGCAATAAGATTTTTGGTCCGGACCAAAATTTATATGACCAATTAAAAACCTACGGCGAAGACTATTAACAAGATTGTAACAAAATATTAATCAAAATACTTAACTACGGCTTGATGATTTTACGTATGAAAAGATATAATGTATTATAAAACTTTCATTTAGGACAGTTCTATTTTCTCTAAATATTGAATTTTAACATACAAGTTTATTTCTTACTTCTTTTTTTTTTTGATCGAAAAATAGAGCTTGTTGGATTAATCTCGATCCGGATAGATTCGTATCTGAAATTTTTCTATTAATTGGATCCTATTTCAAAAGTTTTTAACCCAATCGACTCTATTGAAAAAGAGCTTCATTAACTTATTGATTTACATATATAACAAATTTCATTGTTTTCAATATCGAAAATTGTAATGTAATATCTCTCTCTCTCTCTCTCTCTTTTTTTTTCTTTTTGCAATTACCTCAATAATTCAAAATTTGATTCATTTAATTTTGCAGCATTTTCTACCCAAAATTTTTCCATTTGATGAACTGGTGTCCATGAAAGACGGCCTGAACGAATTTCAACTGCATATTCATCAAATGAACTAAAATTTTAAAATGAATTTTTTTTGAATTCATTCTGTCATTATTGTTTTTCCGAACTTACGTAACATCTGCTAAATTTCCTTCAAGTTTTTCTTTTATAAATTCAACATTTTCATTAATATCATCGTCATCAAATTTTTTATTACTAAGTAATTCTAATGGTTTAACAAGTCGGCATGCAATCATTGTCATAGCATTCTCACGAATTACTTTATCACTTTCTGGTTTTTCAAGTAAATTCTATTAATAAATAAAAAATAAAAAATGAAGATCATATGTACTTAACTTACTCGTAAAAATGCTACGATCATACGTGTTACTTTTTCTTTCTGAGTTTCAGCAAGAATTTCACTAAGACGTGGAATGACAGTATATCTTTAAACAAAAAAAAAATTAAATTCCATATCGTAAATCTGTTTTTTTTGTATTTATTTATTCAAAACTTACTTGGACATAATAGCAGCAATATTGCGATTAAATGTTAATACCCATAAACAAAATAAAAGTTGATATTGTACTTGAAAACCAACCGTAGCATTATTTAATACTTGCATAATGCTAAAATAATAGAATTATGAAAGCAAAAATAAAATAATTATTTTGATAAAAATTTACCTTGGAATACCATCAATAGCAACAAATGCTTCACGATATGGTTCAATACGTAACATCATTTGTAAACTTCGACAAACACTTTGTAAATATTCATTACCCTATATAGAATATTTTGATTTCAGAGTTCTAATAAATGAAGACAAAAAAAAAAACAAACATAACATACTTGCGGTTTAAGTTGTTCTTTGAGCCATGCTAAATAATATGATAAATCAGATGGTGGCATTCGTTCAACACTCCAACAAGCAAGTTTTGCAATAATTCGACTGGTCTATGAAATAAAATAATAAATTTTATTGAAAAAAAAAAACAAAAATCTTGTTGTTTTTTTTTACTTGATAAACAACAAATTGATCTTGATTAGCAAACATATTAAAAAAATACGACCATAATTGTTCTTTTTTCATTTTAGCATATGTATTAAATATTTCTACACGACTTTTATCTTCCTATTGAAAGAAGAAAAACAAACGAATTTCATTGTTGATTTTAGATGTTTTTTTTTTTTTTTCATTTAATAAAATTTACCCGAAGACATTGATCCATTAATGTAAGTAAATATCTAAGTGTTTGTTGTTTAAATAATTTTGACATTAATGTTAAAAATGTTTTTGCACACTAAAATAAGACAACAAAATATTCATACTATTATTCAAGATCAGAAATGTGTGATATTCTCCTTCTGTTACTGGAATTCATCTACATAACATCGAACTTCCTACTTTTGAAAATTATCTACGTAGCGCTTCACTCCTATTTTCAGTGCTAAATTATGCATTTTTATTTACTTGATTTCTTGAATTAGGATCCGATAAAAGTTTAGCTCGTCCATCAGCATTTAATTGATCAAAATTAGAGATAAATTCATAATCATCTTTTGATATCATTTGTCCTTGAAAATATGATTGCCATTTTGGTTTTTGACGCATTACCTCTTGTGCTTGTTTTTGAAGATGACTAATTGCATCAGTCACTAATTAAAAAAACAAAGGAAAGAAAATTTTTTTTAAATAAAATAAATTATTAAAATAAAAATATATACTCGATTCAAGATCATCAGGTAAATGATGACTTGTTTTAAATTGATTAATATCATCACTGAGACGACGAACTATAGCATCTTTTTCTTGAGGTGATTGAGTCATGAAGACTGTATGCGAACAAAAAAAAGAAATATTCAAACTGAAAAGAAAAAACAAACGTGATAGTGCATGACAAGAAATATTAACTAGTATATATATATAGAGGACAAATTATCTAGATAAAATAGTGTCACTTTTATTTTATGTGATGATGTGTGAAAAAATTGTTTTGCAAAAAATAATAAATAGTTAATAATGACGATTCTATTCAGTTGGTTGAACTGTTAACCAATAATATAGAAGCAAACATAAAAGATAAGCTGGCGCATATATGTTCGTTGATGTTCATGTAAATTAAAAAAAACGAACGTTCCGAGGTCGCTAGGACTGCAGGAAGGAGGTCGATGACTCAGGTGATGAATAGAAAAATTTTAGCTAAAATTGACCAGATTTCGGGAAGGAAAATAAATGTGCTTATGGAAATTGTTGAGCAAAAAAAAAAAAACAACAATGAAACACTGGAGCTCCACTGGAGAAGAACGAAAATTTGTCAATATTAGGAAGGTGTCACTCTCCGCTCTGACACCTCTGACTAGAATTTCGTATATGAAAACCATTCAATACAGAGATGAATTGGATATGATGTAGTAATAGTAGACAGAGAATTTATGGGGTTTCAAAAAAAAAAAACAAGATAAATGATTGCTACATAGAATTATGCGCTTCCTTGTTAAAACATATGAACAATCGAAAAATGAAAGAATTTTTTATTTGAATAGATCAATAAGATTTTCATCAGTTTTGTTTAAATATTACTATTCTTGTCTTCTTTATTAATTAGACACATAATCTACATTTTCTATGGATTGACTTTTTCGCTCATTCATTTTTAGTGAAGATTATAATTATACATTAGGTGAAATACCTGGCTGTCGAATAGATTTCAAATGTGGTTCACCTGAATGTCATCGTTGTTATCGAGTTTTCTAATCTTTGATTATAATTAAATTAAAAAAAAAACAGATTTCGTAGAATTAACGCCTTTTTTGGTTTTGCTTTGTTTTGTTTTCTCTTTTTTTCTCGAAAAACGAAAAAAAAAACAAATTTGAAGATATATATGTGATCATTATTCGATTTAATGCTTTGTAGATTTCGTAGATAGAATTATCAAAGAATAAATAATTTCTTTTTGAATAAAATAAATCTCAAGGAAATCTTCTTAATCTTTTAATTGAGATGATTTATCTTGGTTTCAACATTTTAATAAAGAATTATGTGAAGAAACAATATTTCCTTATTTTTATTAAATAGGAAATCGATTTTATAATCGATTAAGTTTAAATGAGCAAATCTATGTGAAAAATCTTCCAATTGAAGCAATAATACAATGAAATCGATTCTTTTTATTGAATTTTTTTTCTTGTTTCTGATAGTTAAATACAACCGGTATTAAATATATACACTTATAAATCAACAAGTTCCAGTCTTGTATATATTATTCGAAAACATTTTCGTGAAGGACCAAATGAATGCATGTAATCAAACAAAAAAAATCATGATTGTTAAAGGTATATTTGATATATAATGGAACGTTCATAAGAAATTATATAGGATTATTTTTATATAAAAGAATGTCTGATGTTGATTAACTCGATGTTGTTCAATAATTAACTAAATATTTAAGTTTAAATCAGCAGTAACCACGATCCAAAAGTTGGAAATTCAAGAAAATTTCTAGAATTTCTAGAATTGCTTGAATTGCCAATTTTTGGATCGTGGTTATATCTCTTATCAATAAAAAAAAACCTATCTCTTTTCAGTTCATATATAATTAAGCTTTCACTAGAACATCTTCTGATGAAATGGATAGATACATTTCCCTCTTCAATATGGTTTGGATTGCATTGATAAATCTTAATAATATACTCAAAAGAAAACGAACCTAGTTTTTATCAGCGTGTTTTAGTCCAATAAATATATTTTTTTCTTGAGTGTATTATTAAGATTTATGAATGCAGTCTAAACCGTATTGAAGAGGAAAATATATCTATCCATTTTATCAGAAGATGTTCTAGTGAAAGCTTAATTATTTATGAACTGAAAAGAGATAGGTTTTTTTGTTGATAATGTGAAGAAATTCTAGGTATCCTTCGAACCTTTTCTTCTTCAATTCTAGCATCGAATTCTCGACATACATGAGCGTCGAGAAAAATACCGATTGATGAGATAGACTAATAGAATGAAAAGAAATATCTATATAATAACGTCGACAAGTCATAGTTCTTGTGATATAGAATAATTAATTCTGTTTTTTTTCTTGTATGACTATATTAGTGTATGTTAAAACTTTCTCTCTTGTTGTATTTCCTTCGATTTATTAGTTATATTCTTTGTTTTGCGGTACATTCCAGTAAGTCACTACATGTACATACATGTGATCGTGTCTGCCGAGAGCTAGATACTTGTTTCTGTTCATTTCTTTCTTATTTTTCTGTTATTCTTTGCTCTTCCGATTCGTTATATACCTGTCTATCATATATGAAAGCAATTCAATATATTAATATTTGATTTCTTATTCATTAGAATTCAAGACGAACAATTCTCATTTGATTGTTGAAATAATTTTGTATACAAATCCAAGTTTTAGATATTTTTTTTCATTTGTGTATTCATTGATTCAAAGCATGTCTTTTGAACCTGACGATGTGTTAATATTGCTCAACCTCCGGATATTGCATCGTGAACAAGTAAATAAAACCTGAGAAAAGATTTAATTAACTTTTAGATTTTTATAAAGGTAAAATATACGGTTGATAATGTAAAACGAAATCTAACAAAATATAGTCAATCACAAGAAAAAAGATTTACAATTTATAATGAACTCGTTTCAGGATGTGGGTGTGGGGTGTCGGGGTGTGGTTTTTTTTGTCTTCAAGACTCACACCCACAAGCACACCCACACTCATACCTCCACACCCTCCTGTGCAACTCAATGGAAATTTTCAAAATACGTTGGGCTCAAGTTGAGGATGGTATGCCAAAATTTTCAGTCCTATACTATGACGTGTTGATAGAGATATGAACCAAATGAGAGCAAAAAAGAGTCACTTCGCAACCCATTTTTTTCTGTCGGGACTCTTTCCACACATTACAAGTTTCTTGTTTGAAAGAGGATGTCAGAATGTAGAACACCACGGAGTCCTTCTTTTGTAAATTCTTACTTTTTAAGGGGAGAAAATGGATCATAAGGTGAATAATTCAGAAAAATCTGGTGAAAAGGGACGTCCATTTATAAAAGTGTTCGCATGTATAATAAAAAACAAAGTTTAATTCAAAAGAGTACCTTGTAATGCCCTGCATTTTGACGTGCTCTTTCAAACAAAAAAAAAATTAAACATATTTGATGAGCCTGGACAAAGAAATTTGGGTTACGCGTTTCAAACAGTATAATATAAGAAAAAACGAAAGACATATTTCGTTTTTTATGAAAAGCCTATTTTTTAAGAAGTGATCGATAACAGTTGTCAAAAATTTTACCTAAAAAAGTGAGTGTCAATTTAGAAACCGTGTTGTATTCGAAAGAGCAAAACGTGGACTATCTTTCCATGCATTTATTCTAGTTTTTATTTCTTTCAGAAAAATTAACTGCTGAACTGAAGACCTTACTATGTTGTCAAACAAATTAATACGCAAGTTTTTGATAATATATTTTTGAGAAATTAATTTTGAAAAGAAGTTTTACTGCCGAGTTTTGAACTACGGTTCGAAAGTGTATATAATTTCATTCTAAAGTTTAT